GAGGAACTCTGCAGACTTCTTTGGAACTGAAGAAACGAAAATAACTGGATGATCCAAAGGAGAGAGTAATAAAATGGATAAGCATAATGTATTTGCAGTTACTAGGTTGTATTTTTCTCATTCTTTTAATGCAAAACTTTTAATCACAGTCTGTGCTTGCCATTCTGCAGCCATACGTTTGGTTAATTAACATACTTTTACAAATAAAGCCAGACAATAACCGAAAAGAAACGATATAAACTGAACTTGCAGGAGTGATAATGCAACGATTAACATTCAACGTGGTGAGAACCATCTCGAGGGGACCCTGTAGGTGTCACTGTTATACTTGTTATGTGGTGTAGCTGCTGCAGTGTGAGTGTCATTAGAAGGGCAGAGACAGCAATTCAAAACAGGGGTCATGTGCTGATTTTTCTTTTTTTCGTTTGCTGTCTTATTCCACACCTGTGATCACAACTGAGATCTCAAATGTGGAGACATAACTAAGTCAGGTTAATAATTTCACTGATTTTAATGCTAAATGTGAGACATAACATAGCTGAATTGAAATTGTTAAATAGGAACAGAGGTTAGCTTTATCGTAGATGAATGGACTAACAGTTGCTGTCAGGAATATGGTTTAAGGTGTGTTAAAATACAATCCTTAATCAGAAGCAAAACAAAGAGAGTTTTGCTGTGACATGACTGACGTTGCAGCAGGGCGAGACTTACTGTGGCTGAGAGGACAAAAATTGTCTGTGACATGTCAGCACAGGCTCGCTGCTCTCTCTCACTCTCTTGAGCTCAAGTACATGACATAAATGATGATATGGTTTCCTTCAACTTGAAAAATTACAAAACATTAAAATATCAATAGAGCTCACACTACTGATGAAAGAGGAGACTTGTATTGAAAGGTAGAAGAAAGGTGATTTAGGTGGCTTTAAACGTGGTGTGTTTGTTGACAGATAAGCTGGTCCGAGTATTTAAGAAAACTGCTGATCTTCTGGGATTTTCCCACATGAATATCTCTAGGGTTTACAGCGAATAGTCAGGAAAACCAAAAATATCCAGTGTGTGACAGTTCACTGAGCAAAAATGCCTTGTTGATGTCAGAGGAGAATGGCCAGACTGCTTTGAGCTGATAGAAAGGCAACAGTAACTCAAATAACCACAACCAAGGTATGCAGAAGAGCTTCTCTGAATGCACAGCTCATCGAATCTTGATGGGCTACACCAGCAAAAGACCACCATGTGTCAGCTCAGAACAGGCATCTGAAGCTACAGAAGATGGGAAAAAAATGTTATTTGGTCTTATTCAGATGGTAGATTCAGAGTTTGGCGTAAACAACATAAAAACATGGCTCCATCCCACCCTGAATCAGTGCTTTCTTTACACTGGTGGTGGTCGTATGACCCATCCATCCGTTTTCTTCTGCTTTTCTATATCAGGGTTGCGGCGTGACTGCAGCTTATTATCCTTTACATTTTGGTTATTCTACACAAAATCTCAAACTGGTTTCTTGAGCACAAGAATACCTTCACAGTACCAGACAGAATAATGAGCAAGGTGTAACTAATGAAGTGGTCGGTGAGTGTGTGCTGGGTTTTGAAGGTTCATTTTCAGAATCAATTCCTTTTGTCTTCCAATGTGTATCTAATGCATTTGATGGTTTGGTGATTTATTCCTACAACAGGACAACGACTTAAAGCACAACTGCAAATTACACAAGAACTATTTAGAGGTGAAGCAGTCAGCTTCTATCTCTAATGAGTGACCAGCACAGTGACCGGCTCTTAACCCGGATGAGCTGCTGTGGGAACAGCTTAACCGCGTGGCAAACAAGAACTGCCCATCAAACCAATGCAACTTGTCAGAGGCTTTGCAGAAACTGTGGAGTTAGATACACCCGAATCAAATAACAGAGTAAGAAAAGTCGAACGTTTCCTTAGCTGATTTTAAAAGAGAGACAGAAAGTAAACAGACGCTTTTTCCGAGCCAATACTTTCTTTAACTGTACGTCAACTTAATGTCACTTTGCGAAGAGAAATATGCCACTGCCAGGCTAAAATATCACATTGAACCCAGTAAGTATATTTACTGCAGTAACCCATCATCATCATAGCATCATTTAGTGAAAGATCAGTACATTCAAACCTTAAAACATTTTTAATTTCCACAGACAAAAAGAGAAAACTCAAATATTTTTCTTTTTTTTTTTTTTGGTATAATATCTTCATTTCCATGTCACAACAGTCTCTAGTGAGGTAGACTACAACAGGTCAACAGTTTGAAACGCTGGTCTTTAAACTGGTATTTGAAATGACATGAAAGAAATACTTCCATGTACAAGGTCTTCAACATGAGGTAGAAACGGTTACAGAGAATGTACAAGATACAAGAAAAGTACATGTGAATCACAAAGATAACAGTGAAGTCTGATTTTCCATCTGCGAAGGCCAACACTGACTCCACCCCCTTCACTGAATCAGAGTAACACAAAGAAAAGGCAAATGCTTCCCGCAATGTGTCTTTTGAATGCAGAGCACATCCTGTGTTGATTCACTTGTTGTAACCAAATACTTGTAAAAACCTGGGGTAAGCATAAATCATGATTTACTTAGCACCTCTTTCCTAATCTGAATTTCTTTTCTGAAGAGCCTCTACTTTTTCCCCTTAAACCGCATTCTGAGTAAGATAGTAAAAAAGCACTAAAATGGCTTTTAATTACACTGAATTTCCAATTAGTAAAATTAAAGGGGAATCCATTCACTTTAGATTTGAAGTTCAGCTTTGTAACAACCTAGACATCTCAAGCTCATGTTTCATTTGCCCTCCTGCTTCCACTTAAACAGATTTCTACTTTAAACTGCCAGTTGTGACCAATCACACCTGTTTGTGAATCACCGCATGTGATTAAGAACATTTCTGCCAATTTACGACACCAGAGTTTGTTGATATTACCTCTTTCACTCTGGTGGCTTGTGGCTCAATCCAGTTGGGTTTAGAGGTGCTTAAGGGTCAAAACTGAAGTAAGAGTTTCCTGATTCGTTCATTTAATAGGCTTTTTTTTTTAAATTAGAGGTTGGCACAGTTCATAAATCAGTGGCATAGCAGAGCAGCAAAGCCCCAGTGCGCTGACAGTGTTGGTATTCAACTTAATTCAACTTGAAGTTAGGGCTAAATTCAAGCTGAATCAAGTGGTTTTAAAATACTGAAATGGTGACTGGATACTTTATTAAGACATTTAATAAAAATATCGCTTATACACCATATACTGTAGTGTGTGTACATCTTGATATGTGTTTATCAGGAGTGCTTTTCCTTTTCCCCACTGCTAACTACACTAACACTTGACATGCCAATATTTTCTCCACCAAAACCTACTGGAGACTTACATCTATACGTGGAAAAAAAATAGATCTAAAAACATCATTGATGTACGTATGGCATGTCTTTAAAAAAAATATCTGAATTACATTCAACATTTCAGGCCTTGATATAAAAACCTCGAGTTTCCCGGAGCTAAGAAACGATGTAGTGTTTTGTGTGTGTGTGTGTGAACGCATGTACATGTGTATGTGTACGTGTGCGTTCACACTATTAAAAGGCCTTAAAAGTTCATTGTTTCCCTGAAGTGTCAGCCATGGCATCGTTTTCATCTCGCTCCATTAAAGCTCCCCCACCGACACCCTAAGGTATCAACATACATTCGTAGTTCATCTTTCTGAGGTAACAATATTCTTCCTGAGTATTCAATAACACGATAAATCATCCTTCTGACAGGCAAAAGTAAAGAGAAAAACATATAAAGAAGTCAAATCTAACGACAAGCAGGTAAATTTTAACAAAGTATGTAGCTGAATAAAACTTTTAAGAGGCACTCGCTCAGACGCATATATCCTCTGCTGAAACGTGCGTGCCTGTGCAGCCACACTGAAGCAATAATGAGCTTTTATGTAGCTAACCTGCACTGAGTACATCTTCCCAGTATGTACAATCATCTATGTTTTTCCATTGTACAGTCTGAGATAAAGTTGGGTTAAGGATTAGCAGAAATATCTGTGTGAAGAAGATGCTTTTAAGATGATTGAGCCATACTTGATTTACCCATACTGCGACTTTATGAAGGCTAAATACATTTTCAATGGATTTTCATGAATAAAAGCTATTTAAAGTATTTCCCTACTTCAAAAAAAGAAGAAGAAAAAAAAGAAAAACAAGACAGTTCACCTGCAAATCCAATATATGTATTTTCCCTCTGTTGTCTAGTGCTGTTCATCAGTCTGGATTATTCAGGTGTGAGTCAACAGTTGTTAACTCTGCATTATAAATAATAGGATTAAATAGCGATGGCCTTGTGATGCTCAAAATAAACAAACAAAGAAGAAACAAACAAACAAACAAACAAAAAACACCTTAAAAAAAAAACAACCACCAATGTTTTACTGTGGCCAGTTTTCAGTAGGGACTATTTTACATCTGTCTACATACACCAACCAAAAGTAGTGTGTAGCTAGCAAACACCCATCTTGCCATGGGCAGATGCATGGACCACAAGGCAAGTGCCATTTAATTCCATAATTCCAACTAAACTCTAAATTAATACATTGCAGGAAAAATACATAATTTTGATTCTGAGGTCAACTGCCTGTCAAGAAAAGAGTGGCGTCATGTATATTATGACATAATTATGCAGCATAGGCAGCTTGATATCTATAAATGAGACAAAAATGGTAAGTTGGTGAGCAAGGAGAATAATTAATCAGAGGACAAGAGGTCCAGGATAGAAGATAAACATAAACATGGAGATTAAAAAAAAAATCTAAACAAAAGAAAAGTGAAATGAAACCTGAAAACATTCATTTCTCAAGGCCAAGCCAAGCACAAAGACTTACAGCCAGCAGTGTAGTCGGGATTGTGCTGAAGTAGTATGGCATTCTCACCACTTCAGTTATTGCTCTTTTTACTTTTTGGTCATAATGATTTTTTTATTTTTTTTTTTTTTTTTGGTTTTTTGTGGTGCGATAGAGCATATTGCAGTCAAAGGCCTTTTAAATACATAACGGCCACAAACAATTACACCAACTCCAAAAACAATGTTGCAGTGCTGTTGCCACAGTAGCAGAAAAGGGAATAAATAGGATCCTGAGAGAAACAGACACGCGTACATTTAGACTGTCTTAATGATATCTATGTAGCGAATGCCTCAACCTCACTCCTAAGACTGACCTCAGCCTTACAGGGCAAAACGCCTCTGTGAATCTTTGGGAAAACATGATAAACAAAAACGTTAATGTACAGGAAACACCGGTCCTGTAGTAGGGAAATTAAATGTTTCATCGACAAATTCAATGTTATTTCCCCGAGTCTGTCAGGGTTAGGAACCCTGGGTGGTTTTTAAGGAGCAAGGGAATCCTTCAATATCCCAACCTGGTCTGTTAGTGCCCTCCAGTGGGGTCCTCAGAGTGTGCGTGAGATGCAGATATCTTCATCTGCATTCTCTGCTGCTGAGGAAAGCTGTGCTCCCCCGATACACTCTCTCCCGCTAGGCCTGATGGCGGGCTGTACTCCCCTGCCCTGACGTAAGGGGGTGATATGAGGGGCTTTCCAGATTTGAAAGACTGTGCATCTGAGGCGGGCACACTCATATCATAACCATTGCCATGCCCGTTGTCGGAAGCTTTGTTGTGACTGTTCCCGTTGCCATATTTTCTATAGCGAGATCCTTCCACCTCTGCTTCCTCTTGTCGTTCCTCTGTCATTTCAAAGGCCTTGCGTTTCAGAGGTACACCTGTCTCGAGCGTCCCTCCAAGGCTGTGAGATGGGTAGTTGTAAGTCCCCCCCACCATGGTAGGCCTAGGGGCCAGAGGAGTGGGAGCGCTAATCCCAGACGGCAGGTAGGACACACTGGGGCGGCTGTATCCCGAGGACAGGCTGGTTTGGGGGTAGCACCCTGGGGGGTAGTTGTAGACAGGTGGGCTAGGGCTGTAGTTGGACACTAAAGTAGGTGGAGCCTGCAAAGAGTGTAGAGGGGTTGGTGGGAGTGCTGCACTGGGCTGAGGGCAGTATCCTGAAGACAAGTAGGTGCTGTTGTAAGCAGGAGGGTATTCCTGAGATGATGGAGCACTGCACGAGCCAGCACCACTAAAGCCTGGCTCAGGGGCCAAATTACTGCTCACCACTGTTACACTTCCTGTAGTCGGGATCCCCACAGAGGCAGGGGCCACCTTGGTGCCAGTGAGTGCCTCAAGTCCAGGGTAACAGTCCATGCCTTGAGCCAGAGTCCAGGGCTCAGAGTCTGATTTTAAGAAAGTCCCATGCTCTGCGTAAGCTCCCGTAGCAGGGCGGTCCAGGCCTGAGTACTTCTCAGCGTAGCGCTTGAGCAGAGAAGAAGCACTAAGGGCTGATATGTCGTCACTGGCCCAAGGATAACTTGTAGGGGCGTAGCTTCGGCGAGGACCTGTAGCGTAGGGGTCGTGCTTGTTGGCAGACGGTGGCGAGGTGGTGGAGGTGACATCTAAGTGCTGTTCAGGCCACTGAGATAAAGGGGCGGCGTGCTCCGGAGACCAGTGCATCTTTAACAAACCTGACAAACAAGAACAAAGATGTTATTTCACATAATCTCAGAATAATAACCCTGATCAGATAACATTTCTACACCTACTTTATGGTGTTTAGCTCTTCACAGGGATTCCAATTTCTTCTAAAGAAGACAAGATCTTATATCTGCCCTCATAATCACCTTGCAACGCTGGCTCTTTTCCACAGTTTTGTCAATGCTTAGCCCATGTCCTTCTAAACAGTCTCTACCAGGCGGAGGCCAACTGCTCTAATCTGTATGAGAAGCTGCCAACATAGCCCCCAGCCTGGTCTCCACGGCGATAAGCCTCTATCAGCCTGCACACTGCCCTCTGCCTTCGTCTCTCTCACATTCTCACATTGGGGCCATTGTATTTTCTCTTTGAGTCTCTTAGCCCACAAAGCCACCCCCACCAAGCGTGTGATCTAATTCGGCCCAAACCTCAGGGGTCTGCTGGACGAGGGGGGGGGGAGAGGGCGGGGTCACTGGCGAGGTAGACTAGCTTTTCTCCAAATTACACAGAGACTGTCCCACTAGCATCTATGGACACTGAAGTGTGTGTCATTAGTGAAGTGACTGACTGATGAGTGAAAAATGACGGATTTTTGATTACACAAGCACATTTGCACAGAGTAATCCGCTGGTTTAGTGGCTCAGGGTTTGTCTTTTTGAACTGGCATTAAGCTGACATTCCACACATTGCAGAGTATTACTAAAGTGTCCTGACCCCAGGCTTTGACCAGAGGGGCTTCCTTGCAACCACTGGACAGCTTTATTGATTTCTGATACTGCATCAATATACAGTACTGGACAAACATGGTACCATCCTACGGGCACTGGCCATTTACTTGTTGTGTCACATCAAGTTATCACAGTCTAAATGTTCGAAGAAAGTCTAACGGAGATGTTGGAACAAGATAATAGTTTCTGCTGTGTAAAACCTGAACCATGAAGTAACTGCAAGAAAAACTCTAATTTTGTGAAACTGTATTTTAGTGAACATCTAACAAATTTTAAAAAATAAATTATATATCAGTTTGCATATGCAGGTTTTGATTTGTATCATATTTGCTACATCTGACATTTCTGTGCAATGTATTGCTTAAAAATGAACTTCTGTAATTTATTTAGGTTTTCACTCATGTCTGGTCTGAAACTGTCTGCAAGTGGATTATACCAGGTTGGGTCATATGTCCACACGGACCACCAGATGGGTCGCTAAACGGTCCACACGTTGATCCCTAAATTAAATGATCCTTCAGCCTAATAATCCCTCTCATCCATTCCAGGGATAGCAAGTGCTCTTGTCTGGCACAAGCTCCACCCTTGAGCTGAGAAATCCCCACGCTCCAGGGAATTCTGACCCGTCACGGTGCACAAAAACATTACACATTCAAAACAGCAAACACAGGCATCAAAACCTACCTAAACAAAATAACTCGACCTAACCCTGAGAATTATTAGTCATACACCTGTACACTAGACAGACTCGTATTCTGTTTAGTTCTGAGTGTGGGTTTTTAAATAGTATTTCACAAGCCCCAAGGGAGTAGGGGTCATCTAAGCCTCTGTGCCTGCTGTGTTGTGAATGATATTCCATATTTCTATACAATGCCAATGAATGACTCAGTCTTTCATGTCAACATCAAATCCCCCAAAATGTATCTGAAGGAGATTAAGGGATAAAAAAAAAGAGCGCTTGTGAGGAAGAAGCCCTCATGACATGTTTCCGGGGTGTTTGTTACTGTCATGTTTTTAAGGTCATTCACATTAACAGAACCACAAGTGTGAAAAGTTTATAAATGTGTGTTGATAACGGCTCTACCGAGACCTCCACTTTGTCGTATTTGAATTCATAATCTTGATGCTCCTCGATGGCAAACTTTCAATTTGATTTTTTGGAAAAATGTGAGCTATTGCTATAGTTACCTAATAGAGAGACAGATATTTTGTGCTTGATTTCTTTAGCAGGTTTGCACTAGTTGAACTGACAAGAACTTAGCTGAAGAGAGCACAACTACTCGATTACATGCTAATTAGTATACTGTACTTAACGATTGCTTATTTCTTGAGCTGCTTCATCATAAGCTGCCATTTATTTTATTTTCAACATGTGAGCTCTTCATTTCCCTTTGTGTCTACTTAGACTTTACTTCACTTTGTCTTTTTTCAATGTGAACAAACTATATGTTACTTGCACGCTTAAAATATTTGATAAATCCAAAGGAAATTTACAACCAATTTCTGATTTCATGGCAGACGAACAGCTAAAAGAAACAAAAGGAAAAAAAATAAATATGACCCAGTGTTTGATTTATGTCTGCATAGAAGGAGTTTATAAGAACCTGCTCACAGTAGGCTCAACACTACAAAAGCACTAGTACAAATGGGGAGTGCAAATACAATCAGTTCAGTTTAATTCAATTCAATTCAATTTTATTTATATAGCACCAAATCACAACAATAGTCACCTCAACCGCTTTATATTGTATGAGCAAGCACTTGGTGAGAAGGGGAAGGAAAAACTCCATAGGTTGTCCTTTCTCGTATGTAGCACAGAGCAGGGGACACTGTGTGTCATTTGTGTTCTCACATCTGAAAATACTCTGGGCTACCATGGCTCTCACTGAACAACAGCTCAGAGAGGATCCTATGATCCTATATTGGATCAGCGGAAGAGGATGGATGGATGTTTTTGCCAATCCCACTGAGAATCTGTGTCCCGCTTTGTAAAGCTTCCAGCTCAATACTGCATTTTTCTTTATTACATATAAAAACTATTAAACAAGATTACTGACATATGTGTGAAGATAATCTGCAATGTGAGATTTTTGGCATTTTTAAAAAAATGAAATGGCTTCATGGAATTATTCTCATATAAATTCAAAGCTGGCCAACATCAATGACATATAGTGGTGGCCATCAGTGTGGTATTCACTGATCATACTGATTGCAGGCATGCGGCAACCATTTTTCCATGTTGTCTTCAGTCTAGTTCTCTAACGACATCTCCACCATTGGCTCTATAATTTAGCCAAGGCTCATTTGAGCGCGGTGATCTACTATTTCTGGAACCTTCACCAATTTTGGCAAAAGGAATTTAAAACCTGAAGACATGGAAAGATCCCCCTGAGATGAGAAGATGAAGAGTTAACAGGTGAGTCCGTCTGTCAAGAACCAGACTGAGAAAAGTACCTGAGTTAATGATGGATTAGAGCACATGAGGCTTATGGGAGCGTTAGCGTGTGTTTAAGCTAACAGTCAGCTCCAAGAAGTAAAGAAGCATCACTTGCAAACTCACTCTCAATCCTGGCGGTAACTTTCACAACATAACATAACACAAGTCTTTACATTACATTTTCAAAATAACTTCATAGTTATTTTTCATTCTCATCTCTTCATAATTTTCCAAATTAATAACATATGGCAGCTACATCAGGAAAAAAGTATTTTTATTCATCTTTAGGCAAAAAAAAAAGATTCTTGAACTTTATTTTTGAAACACATACTTTTCAAAGAGTTTGTTCCATGTCCACTTAAAGCTGGACAACATGTGTTTTGACCTTTGAATTTTGTATGGAGTGACACATAAGTGTCCAATGTAAATGGCCTGTATTTATATGGCCTGTATTTATATAGCGCTTTACATATCCAGTCATTCACCCATTCACGCACACATTCACACACTGGTGATGGCAAGCTACATTGTAGCCACAGCCACCCTGGGGCGCACTGACAGAGGCGATGTAGTGGTTTATGTGCAAGTATGCCCTCAACACTGACACAAATACAAGAAAACAGCCTTTGAATAACAGTCCAATGTAGTGACCACAATGCGCGAAAGGGTTAATGAGTATATTTCATTCCTTATTTATATATTCTGTATTTATATAGGTATATATTTGCTATATTTATGCATATTCTCTTTTTCCTGTTTATTTTTTACTCTAACTTCTTACTATGCAAATTTCTGTTGGTGTTCTGCTACTGGAAACAGAATTTCTTTAAGTAATCTTCAGGAAAAGTTCTCCATTCTTGTTGCAGGACATTCAAAGCTTCTCACTGATGTTCATAATGCCATCAAGGCCTGTAAAAATACTTATGCCTAAATCTTATGCCTGGCTCTTTTATCTTTGACATTTTTGTAGGTTTAACTAAAGAAATTGGAACAATGATGTGATTTTTATTGCAGGTTGCTTGCAACAAAGTGACTATAGATAGAATTTAAAATCAGTTCTTGAAGTTGTTTAATAAGTATAGACACAACACTGGTTCATTCCTTGAGTTTGGTGCCTTTTTATGACCGAACGATTCATAGGTCAGTGTTAAGTGCCTAAACAAACAAAGAAACATTCCTCTGAAAATGCTCAGGCCCAAGGACTGGACTGAAAATGAGTGAAAAAGCAGCCCATACCCAAAGAAAAACTTTACAAAACCTCCAGAAAGCCTGAAGAGCTTTTGCTCAAGCCCACTTTGAAAATGACATGAAAGTCTGGCTCATGTCGATACACAGACTAGATCTACTTTATAATATTAATATTCCCGATAATAAGCTGGCTAGAACATTTCTGAGATGACTCAAAAACAGGAAAACAAAGTTAACTGCTATGCATGCAGGAAACGCTGACTCTTATGTTCAAAGGTGCATGTAACCAGAAATCTTTTGCAAACTGAAAGCGCTAAATTGCTGTTACTATGACACCCCACTCAAGTCCTGTGTTTACATGTCTTTGCAATAAGAGACAATGAAACTGACTGAAAGCTTGAAGTCAAGTCAAGTCACACAAAAAAGCACTAACCCTCAACCCCTATGCTTGTGTACTACATGAACTCAGAGTTCACTACACAGAAAAATGTGCCTTGCATCAGTGTGTAATCATGTGTGCTGTGTGTTTAAAGACAGCCAAAGACAAACGCATAAGGTGATTCTAATCTGAGACAGATGAGTGCTTAAAGTGTATAGAAACGCATCTATGCACAGTTAAAATGTAACTTGTTCTCTCACCTGCTTTGAGTGGTCACTAAGACTGGATGCCTATAAACTCCAGCCGCATTGCTTTTTTGAATAAATGGTCCCCAGCCATCAACAACCACCACCGGAACCAGTTTCAGTTCTCTAATTTGGATGTGACTATTATAATGACTTGTACATTTCAAAAACTCTGACAAAACTGCTTGAATTTTTCTTTTCTGCAATTCTGCAACTCATGGATAGTTTCTGTGTGTCAGTGGAGGCTAGCTTGACTCCCAGTCCACCGCATGGTCAGTATGAGTAATTAGGGGTTAATTAGATGGAAGTATATGTGGGGGAAGGGGCTAGCTGAAATGAGATTTAGGGGGTTGTGAGGAATAAGAGATGGGTGACTGGCTGGATGGAGAGTGGACACAAAAATCACCCTTCTGCAGCTGTAGGGTCTCTGTAAGTGCTTTCAGTCCACCCACAATAAACAAAGACACCCCCTGAAGACGGAAAATCCAAAATACACACACACAAAAATGCACACACACAAGCTGCAGCAAACTACAATCTTATATTGTGTTTTTTCCATGGAGGGTTCAGCTTCAGCTGGCCAGCACGCAGATGGACTCTCGGTCATTGGTTGAGTCAAGCTGCTGGAATGCCAGGAATCTAACCTGAGATCTATTTACAAAGCACATATCCTTTCCATGCACTCAGCACGCCTTGTCTATTCCCAGGCTAAAGGAAGCGAGGGAGAAAACACAAAGAGAGAACGTGATTCCTTACAGTGCTGACAAATGACCTTGTAGCCTGTTTGCACATTACTGAGTGATTTGTATTAGTTAGAAGTTGATTCATGCCACTGCCAAGATCAATACACATCAGAGGAGAAACGGTATACGAGTTTACAAGGAGAATGTCACGCCAGCTGAGATGAACAATGAAATGCACGCACTTTACCCATATATCCCTGTGTTTCAAGCTAACGGTATAAATTAGTGTTATAGTCCTGTGAGCACTGACCAAGAAAAAAAAACTGGGTGTGCAGTCAGTGGGAAGGAGAAGACCCTCCCTCCCTCTCTCTTCCTTTTATTTCCCCTTCCCCCTTTTCTCCAGGCCTGCACACTACACCAGGCCATGCTGCTGTCAGCCAATCAAATACTGTACCAGGTCTGATTCAGACTTTAAACATCCCTAACCTGAAAGCTATTTGAAAGCTCCAAAGCCAAATGAGAAGATCAAACTATGCCAACCACAGGGTTTGACACAGTTTGATCTCTGAATCACGACACAGCTGGTTTCAGCTTGATCATTTGAATCCTCCGTTCCCTCTAATTTAATTTCTCTTTTCTCTCACTCGCATTTTGTTCATTCTTCCTATCCCTCCTGCTATCTGCGCAATAGCAAAGACCAGACTCTGTGTCCCAGCCTGTGTGGTCAGTTTCCCTTCCCCCACTCCTCTAAGCTCACACACTCACATGTGGCAGAGGTTGGCCTGGCCCCTCTTTGCTTATTGTGTCCACTCATATATCAGGCTGCAGCTGACCAGTCCCTCCTTCTACATCTTCTCCATCTGTCCTTCACTTTGCTCTTTCTCTGTCGTTTTCCCCACCGGCGCCGCACATCTACACTATAACACCTAATAAGGAGCCGCGGCTTGTTGCACTTTCTTTTAACAAGCTTTCGCGATTATTAAGCAGGGCTGATGCATGCGTGTGGAGACAGAGGGTGATGTTTATGCGCCCCACTACAACAGCACTAATGAGAGGCTGTTGACACCAGGTTACTAACGATCTGGCTTTCATTCATAGAACTGCTTCACCCTGGTAACGGGCGGCTAAAACGCGCTAACGCCGCTCATCACTCTCACATTATCATCATTAAGGACAAACAATCGCAGTCACCCACACCTTAACAAGCCGTGATTGTTTCCTTATTTGTGTTTGGGAATTGAGCTGAAATTTGTCAGTGTGTGTGACACGTGACTGGAGGTGGTGCGGTTGGGAGTAAAAAATAAAATGCCAGAATGTGAGCGTGTTTAGTTTCTATGAGTAGAAAACTGACACACTGCTGTGAGTTGCTTTTGAGGAAGGAATGTGACACGTAGATGTTACCAGAGTTTCTTTCTACACAGACAGCCCCATCGTTGTGCCTCGCGAGACGTCAGAGACGAAGTATCGTGACATTTTGCTGTTTGTTAGCTGCTGCTTCTCTGTGCAGTTGCTTTAGAATACACAAAACATCCAGCGGTAAATCCCTGTTGCATTATTCCAATCAGGTTAGTGTTGTAATCCTGTTAAAGCTGGTCCTGATCAATAAGCCGGTCAGTCAATACAGGTATATTTAACAGTCTAGATAGGAACCTCGCATAATCAGTACACATATGAGTAAGGGAGGGGCTATTCTGTGACATGTTTACATGATCTGAATATATTTTGCTTTTACATACTCAAGTAACAAACAAGTATTTTGTGGAAATGCCTTCCAAATGTGTCAACTCTTTACCACGTCTGGTAAAAATACAACTGGAGTTTATTCAGATTGAACATGTGTACTGCCCTAAACCTGAAACCTAAAGCCTGTTCAAGCACACATTCATTCTGCAAAATATGTGTGGCGTTTCTAAAAAGACAAACATCTGCTGTCTGTTTGGTCTCAAAAAACAGTGTCTGAACACTTTCTGTGAAATTCCTCAATGCAAAGCCTGGAGACTCAGCTGTTAAAGGCATCAGGGTATCTGCCTTCTCAACATGACTGCTCAAGAGATCCCCTTCCCTTCACCCCAGCAATTCGCTTCCCACTGCATATCCACAGGAGATGAGTTCTGGACAAAAGAGGGGCCTGAAGAAGAATGTGTACAGGAAAACAAACTCAAGCAGAACTGGAGCATGGTATGCACGTACAACATGACACATTCATCCAATAAGTGTCTCCCAAATGCAAACCAAAAAAATTAAAGACTTACTGTATGGGGTGACAGGACTGAGCATTCTGCAGCCCTGGTCCCAGGTGAAGAGGAGAGGACCAGGTCCACTTGGTGCTAGTGAGGGCCCAGCTGCATGCTTCAGGGTCTTCCTGGGTTACCGCTGTTGCTTCTGCTGCTTTTGGCTGTACTGCTGCTGGTAAAGGCTAGTGAGTGGCCTCCTGTACTGCTTCATGGTTCATCTCATAGTTCAACACCACTCTGACACATTGCCACCTGAAGAATGCAAACAAGTCAGTGTCAGAGCCAGCAGACACCTTGTCCTGGTTTAATTGCTGTCGCTTGATTCTAATAGATTTTACGCAAATAATGATAATTAAAAATAAAAATCTTACTCGCTTACACCGTAGAGCAATATTAATATTCGTTTATTTTACTGCAAACCTTCTAACAAAAAAAGTAAAATATTTGTTGTCATGTAAGCTGTTATTGAGTGGTAATGAGCTTTGCATGTATTTTCATTGCGCTTGCTTTTCTGGTTCTTTCCTTAGCTGTGCGCACAGACACAAGCGCACAAGAGAGACTGAAAGTCGAACACTGACACAGCGCTTTACCCTGTGACTACAAGACGCTAAAGCACGGTTTTCATTATAAAACTGCAAACCAACAGAGGAAAGAGAACTCCATGCTGCCCTCTCTAATGCTGAATAGTTCAAGGAAATTTAGGGCAAAAAATGCGTCCAAAGTGCACGCACTTAAAGCAGGCACCAAACAGTCGACACAGGAGGCCAGCTAATTAGAGTTTAATACATATGAAGACAAGGGGAAAAGATGGAAGATAAATTGAAGTAATCTAAGTAAAAACGAAAATCACGACATTTACCGTAAGGAAAAGAGAGAACACCAGAAAGGACCGAAATGTGCAGGCAGCAGCGGAAACATTGTCATTACTGCTGAAGGGAAACCAAAATCTATTTTTTCCTAATAAGTGAGTAAATGGTTACAGACCTGACCATGCCTGGATTTGCCCGATGAGTGTTTCAGTTTGGGAAGTAATCCACTACTCCACAAATTGTAACAGAAGGTCTCTCGCCCTCTCTCTCTGCGTATGTGTGCATGTGTGTGTGTGTATGTGTGTGTCAGTGTGTTTGAGCCTCTTCTGGGATCCTATCCTTTTCTCCTACACTCCCTCGCTCGCCCTCCAGCTCGCCCCCCTCCCCGCCCTCGCTCTCCCTCGCCTGGTGACAACAGAGCAGCGCACGCATCCCCTCCCCCAAGCACGCCACCCCTCCCCCTCCGTCTCCCTTCTCTTTTGTTAAAACTATTTCAGCAGGAAGGGAGAGAGAGGGAAAAAGTGACCAATCATGCAGTGTCAGAGAAGAGCCTATTTCCCCCCCTGCGGTGTGTGTGCATGCGTCTATGTGTGTCTCTGCCTGAGTGCACATGTACCATTTCTGCACGTGCGGATTTGGAGGATTGATAAGACTTGCATGGGTGGCTGCATGCTTTTGGTTACAAACCTTCAGTCTGATGAATGGGCATGTTGGGACACATGCAGATGTGCAAAAAAAATTGAATTTTCTCCTTCACTGATCACATGAGAAGTTCAGTTATTGCCAATGACTTTTATTGATCTGGTACATTGATCTTAGTGTTGTTTGTAAGGTGGGGGCTGAAATGGCCATGTCAGTATTACCTAATTCCTCTGGCACACCATCCCCCCACTATACACAAATACACACATTCACACAGTAGCCTGCACACATGCATGGACGGCAGCAAAACCTTTGGCCAAGAAGTGAGTTAGTTTCTTCAACTGTAATTTATCAGCATGGTTATAATGTGCAGACACAGTTTTGTTTGTAATATTGTCTCACTGAACACTCTCCACTCATGGTACGGTGTTGGAAAACCGTCTAAAATCCTGCAGGGCTTACCCCTTCTCTTTTGGTTGTGAGGCAGTAACCACATGAGCAATGTGACATGTGGGAGATGCACTTCAGAGGATGGCCGTACACAGGACAAACTTACTTCAATCTTTTTAGAGCATAATCCCAAAACAAAACAGACAGTTTCCCTTCAGTAACACTTTATATTAAGGTTCTTGCGATAGGTAATAAGGTGCTCACAGTCCGATCAGAACTAGTTTCAGTATGATGACTAAAACTGAAGTGAGACTGATGGATCTCAGCACTGTTACAATAAAGATGGTCAAGTCAGACCTTTGGACCAAAGTGAGGATCATATATCATATATCACTGCAACAAGGGAATTTGATCCATTTATTTCTGTACTTAAAAAAACCCAACAACTAATATGGCTGTGAATAGGTAATTAGTGAAAAACAACAACTATGGGTTGCATTTATGGGCTTATACAGCTAAATTCAGTTTAATTTGTTGTATAGTGAACTTCTACATTTACGATTTACCCCTTTATGTCCGTGATGCTCAGGAATGCTATTAATCATAAATGGTGGACCCCAAAGCATGAGATCAGGACTGAGATGTGTTGTTCTTCTCATTCTTTTTATTAAGAAACTTTTATTTCATTTTGCTTATTTTACTTTATTCCAATGCATAAAGAGACTGTGGAAAACAGTTTTTGAACACAAACTTTCTTTTGTATCCATAGTCAAAATGTTAATAAATAGCAGTAATATAAATAATAAATACTTTACAATACATGTATTAACTAGGTATGCCCCTATTAACACTCAGCTATGCTTTTACGCAGTAGCTTGAGTTAAAGTAACAATGTTTTACTAGGGTTAATAAACACATTCCTATACAGTTAGAAATCATTTTCATGGCTCTGTCCTCTGGAGCAGTACATAATGTTAAGAAAAGACAATATACAAATTAATACAAAGAAAATCCCTTAAAAAAAGATTAAATTAGGCCTGAGTGTCCTGGTCCAAATTGCCACTAGGTGTGAAGGTGCGAGTGAATGTGAGTGTGAATGGTTGTCTGTCCCTGTGTGTTAGCCCTGCGACAGACTGGCGACCTGTCCAGGGTGTACCCTGCCTCTCGCCCTATGACAGCTGGGATAGGCTCCAGCGCCCCCCGCGACCCTGAAAAGGAGAAGCGGAAGCGAATGGATGGATGGATGTCCTGGTCCAAATCATGCTTTGAAGAGCTCAGACTCACTTATAAACAGCTTATGACTTATTAATTACTGCTTATTACAAGGATCTTGTTTAAGTATTACCTTTCCTTCTCCTTATAGCAACTGTAGAAAGGCATGGTGTGGCAATACCAGAGTATTGGGTTAAAATCCTGCTAGTGATAGGAGTGGAGATACAGGCCTTTCACTGCCTGACTCAGAGCAGTAATTGCTAGTGCGGCACTCAGCTCTTTCCCCCTTACCTGCATTGCTGACAGACACTGAAAAAAGGCCATGCTGTTATTTTACAGGTCAGGAAACAATACATCTAAAAAATTCCAGTTGTGCAGTTCTTTTCATTACAGAAACTGTTTGATACATTTTCACCGTAGTGTAACAAACCCAAGATGCTGCCTCTCATTAGATCCAGAAAACATCTACATTTAGCCACACAACCTAAAGCAGGCTATGAGGAAAAGCAGGAGGGACAAAGAGCAAAAAGTGTGCTAATGACAGCTGAACACAATGGCTATCAGCAAGTTTGAGAAAACATTTACTTTTGGAAACAAAGGAGAGAAAAATCCCCATATAACTGGGGTGCACAATGTACACAGGAAGACAGATTTCCACTCACACGCGTAACAGCCATTCTGGAAATTATTGGTAACTCTAACCCAGAGCTGCTTTGCTCCTGTGGGTGGGATAGGTCACATGATAGCACCCTAGAGAAGCTCAGCTGTTTGCCGCTCTAATTCTGTCTCTAGCAGCTGAGCACTGACCCACTGCTCCAGTGAACTGTCCCAGCAATTATAATTGTGTTTGTGTATGTGCGTGTGTTTGTGCTTGTGTGGATGAAAGTGCTGTAGGAGTTTATGGAGTTATGGGTGAAAAAAATGCGCAGCCATAATTGGCCCAAATGTGTACCTTCAAAACGCTTAACCCCTGCAAGCCTACGCGTGTTCGCAAATGATTTGAAGGGTGAATTATGAGACAATGAGAGAGAGAAAGGGCAAAACAGGAACAGGAAATCTTTGGAAAAAGAACAGGAAATGTGTGTATTGTGGTCTCCCACACAGAAGACGTCAATGTCAGTTCAGTACAGTGCTTGAATCTGAACGTTCTTGATTCTGACAAATCCCACAAAAAAAGGTCAAATTCATCCTACTAATAAATGCTGCCTGCATAGCCAAAGATTATATAGCTTACTGTTAGATATTAGTAAAACACATCAATGAGCCTTTTAAAACTGGTAAGATGTTCTGTTAAAACGAACATGGCCTGGCCTGTAGTTTATTTTAGTCATTTGCACCTACATCACTCTGCTGACATGAGTACAGACCAGGACGCAGTAGGCTTCATGATAAACAGATAAACTCTATGAAGGAAATGTTTGAGATGAAAGTACAGGTTTTCAGCTTTAATTCAAGGGTGTGACACATACGGCAAGAACCCCTTTACTTTCATACCCTAATTTTCAGAGACCCTGTTTCCTTGTTATTTCATGGCAAATCAAGCAGATAGAAGATCTGGGTTAATTCCAAGTGTTTGGCATCTTTTTACTGGAAGTGTCAATATGAGATCCAAAGAGATGCCAGAGCAAATAAGGGGGGACACCCAAGGCTAAAAACCAAAATAAAGTGGAGAAAGTGGAGTGGCCAAATAAATTATTTGGTGTATTCTTTAATAAAAAAAATTGAAAACACTAGCCAGCTCCACAACTCCTAAAACTCAGAAAGACAGCAGAAGACAACTACACAATGATGATGAAAAAAAAAATCACATCTAACCAAGTCTAAAACAGTCGTATGGAGTTGGGTGTATCATTGTTAAAGTCTACAATTATGATCCATGGATGCAAATACAGGGGATTCACAACAAGGTGCAAACCCGTGCATACACCAAAGAATGAGACGACCAGATTAGACTTTGCTGAAAGAGCCTCAACAGTTCTAGAAAAATATAGTTTTATAGTTAAAATTACCTTAGTTTGTCCTCTGAAAATACATGTCTCTATAAAAATAGCTGTGATTCCTAAACAATTCATGATATGCAAAACCTAAAATTCACAATTCAATCACATCTTGTTTGATTTCAAACCCACTATCATGGTGTACAGAGATGTTGTATCTATAGATAGATAGCTAGATGGTAGTAGTTACACCCATGTACTACACAAAGTCTATAAAACATATTGGAGTTATAAATGTATTTAGTTTCACACAAAAATCTGGAGACAAGCATGTTTTATATTATATATACAGAGCTGCGTATAATTATTCTGCTGGTAACATTTTTAATGTGTTCAGTTTTTAACTGCCTGACTTTCTCATCTGGGAATATGATAATGAGTGCAATGGGCCTGCTTAAGTATTCAGAGGATTTATTAATTAACTTGAATTTATGCCAAGTACACTTACTTAAACTCTAATAGACCCACCCCAACAATGTCTTCGCCTCAAAATGTAATTTTCATTTGTGGGAAACTAGTGCTTCAACCCCATAAAGAACATATGTGACTGTATACACAGATTTAGGCCCCGACAACACGGCTAAAGCCGGATTCTCTATTTCTGCAAGGTGTCAGTTAGCTAGCCTTATGCTCAGAGTAGTGTCTCTTTAAGGTTAAATAACATTGCTCTTCCAGTAATTTCAATTGGAAGATTACAGTTAGAGGCTCTAACTTTCTGACAGAGGCATTCATTGTTCTGTTTTTTCTTGAAAGAAGTGTAAAGGTGTAAAGTTTTTAACAACCCTCCTGAGTTGAGTCAGTCTAGAAATTGAAAACAAGGGCAAAAGAGGAATTTTATTTATAGTGTTTAAAAATACAAACAGTTGAAACACCAGCTAACTGAAGGAAGCTAACTGCTGTTTTCTTACCCTGCCTCGCACAAACAGACAGACACAAGAATGCACACCGCACACACATGCAGCACAGCGCTCAGTGTTGGAGTGGCTTATTGTTCTCTGGCATAGAGGACACAATATCCAAGTGTGGTAATAGAGGTTAGATTAATTGCTGACAAATCTGTATTCAGCAGTTCCCTTTCTCCCCGTGTGACAGATTTATGACAGAGATTGATGGAGAGGAG